CTCCTCCTCCTCCTCCTCCTCCTCCTCCTCCTCCTCCTCCTCCTCCTCCTCCTCCTCTCCTCCTCCCCTCCCTCCGCCTCCTCCTCCTCCCCCTCCCCTCCCCCTCCCCTCCCCTCGCCCCTCCTCCTCCTCCTCCTCCTCCCCTCCTCCTCCTCCTCCTCCTCCTCGTCCTCCCACCTCGTCCTCGTCCTCGTCCTCGTCCTCGTCCTCGTCCTCCGTCCTCGTCGCCTCCTCCTCTCCTCCTCCTCCTCCTCCTCCTCCCTCTCCCTCCCCCTCCCCCTCCCCCTCCCCCTCCTCCCTCTTCTCCCTCTCCCTCTCCCTCTCCCTCTCCCTCTCCCTCTCCCTCGCCCTCCCTCCTCCCTCCTCCTCCTCCTCCTCCTCCTCCTTCCTCCTCCTCCTCCTCCTCCTCCGCCTCCTCCTCCTCCTCCTCCGCCTCCTCCTCCTCCTCCTCCTCCTCATCCTCCTCCTCCTCCTCCTTCCTCTCCTCCTCCTCCCTCCTTCTCATCCTCCTCCTCCTCCTCCTCCTCCTCCTCCTCCTCCTCCTCCTCCTCCTCCTCGTACTCCGCGCTCCGGCGGCGGCGCGTGGAGCGCGCTGCCGCCGTGAGACGCGCGCTGGTCGAGAAATGTCAGCCGCGCGTGCTTCCGGACACTCTGCCGCGTCGCCCAGGACAGGCCTGGGGGTGGGCGCCAGGCTCGCGTTCGTCGGCTCCGCGCTCGCGTTCCCTCCTGGGCTGCTCAGGCACACGTCGCTCGTTTCTCACCGCGCTCAATTCTAATGGTGCTCGTTTCAAATTGTTCCCGGCCCCCTGGTGGCCAGGAAGGGGCCCAGGGTAGTACAATTAGAAATTAGAGGATCTTGGCCCCCAAAAAAATCAAAGAACTCTCGGAGAATTAGACATGAACGATGTGTGCGCTGAATCATAATTAGAATCAGGAGGACGAGGGGGAGGAGGAGGAGGAGGAGGAGGAGGAGGAGGAGGAGGAGGAGAGAGAGGAGGAGGAGGAGGACGACGAGAGAGGAGCGAGAGGAGGAGGAGGAGAGGAGAGAGGAGGAGGAGGAGGAGGTCCTCCTGATCCTCCTCCTCCCCCCTCGAGGCAGCAGGACGGCGACGGCGGCTCTGGGCACCACCGCGGTGTGCCCCGCACACAGCGCCCCGTCGGGCCCCGCGCCCGCGGCGGGGCCGGCCAGGCCGTGAGCGCAGCAGAGGCAGCACGGAGGGTCTTCAGGAAAAAAGCATCGAACATCGAACATCGACTCCTCCTCCTCCTCCTCCTCCTCCTCCTCTTCCTCCTGCTCCTCCTCCCTCCTCCTCCCTCCTCCTCCTCCGCCTCCTCCGCCTCCTCCTCCTCCTCCTCCTCCTCTCCTCCTCACTCCTCCTACCTCCTCCCTCCTCGTCCTCCTCCTCTTCCTCCTCCTGCTCCTTCCCTCCTCCTCCTCCTCCTCCTCCTCCTCCTCCTCCTCCTCCTCCCTCTTATTTCGGGCGAGTCTCCCTACACGGGGATTTGGGGCGAAAAATCAAACATAAAATAGTCAATCAGCACCCCAAATGATCACACAATATTTAAAAACAATCGTCTCCTGACTATTTATGGACTATTGTTGAATGTTCCCCCTGTAGAGGGACAGGCACGACTTAAGTCTTCAGTGAAAAACGTCGAGCTTCGAATTTCAGTGCTGTTTCCTAACGTTTCCATCGATGTCCGGATGTTTTCCAGCCTCCGGATGCTCTCCAGCCGCTGGGCCTCGCCGAGAATTATCGGGGAGGTCCTGGGTACATACCCTGAGCATCCGGGCAAAACTAAATCCGATGTTCAAGCTAAGGTCAGACATCTGAGCCAAGTTCAACTTGAGTCCAGGTTCAGAAGCATGCTTCTCGAATCGAACGTGCAAGTTCAGCGCAAGCGGTGCTAAGTAAAGTAAGTATTGCTACATTGTTGCAGATAGTGAAAGCCTACCTAACATTGGCAAACGTTCCAACACATGTTGGTCGGTGTTGGCCGACTCGCGGTGCATGCTGGAAGCTACATGCAAGCACTGCGTTCAAGTTCCCTCCGACTTGCATGCAAGAGCGCAACCTGAGCTTGAAACTTGAGAACGTGTGGCTCGCGGATGCTCCAGAGATTCCCTAGTAGGGGAACAAAAAGTGGCATAAACATAAAAACTCGGAGGTCCGCGCGGATTTCCCCAGTAGGGACCCCCCCTCCCTGGCGCGCGGAGCGCGCCAGAGGCGGCGCCGGAGGCGCCGCCGGGGGGCCCCAGCGCCGATCCAAGAAATCCGCGCGGACCTCCGAGTTGTTATGTTTATGCCACTTTTCGTTCCCCTACCCAGCGGCCGCCGAAAACTCGAGCTCGGACCCGAAATACGGACCTCCTTCTCTCCTCCCCTCGTGAAAGCACGACGCACGGCTTTCGGTCGCTCCGGCCTCCAGCAGACTTCGCAGGGCCTTGGGACCTCGAGCACAGGACTCGGGATGGGAAGCCAGGTCTCGGGGAAGAGGCCCAGACCTCTGGGGGGTCGTTCACGCTCTGAACAGCAGAGTGACAAGTACTTCAGAGTTCTGGGTTGGAGGGATGAGGCAGGAGAAGGGAGAGGAGGAGGAGGAGGAATCTAATCTAATCTAATCTAATATCTGCCCTTTGAGTCCCCTGCAGGCCGCATATATCTGTGTGTGAGTCTGGCTTTAGCTGGGCACGAAGGTCGCGAGGTGCAGGCGGGCCCAAGGACAAACCTCCTCAAGCCGCTGGCCCCCAGCGTGACTGTGAGGACACCCCCAAGAGTTCACGGCGGAGCGCTGGCACCCATGAAACCGCTGGGAGGCCATGACGCACGCAGCATCACCTCCACTGGATTTCGGGGCACTCTGATGATAACCAGAGTCGCCCTCGATCCCAACCAACACTCTTCAAATACCTCTAAGAACTCTGGGGGGCCCTGAAAATCGCGAGCTCACTCTGGCGTCCGAGGTGGAGGAGGAGGAGGAGGAGGGAGACATACGAGCGAACAAGGGAGAAGAGGGGGAAACAACTGACGGCGGCAGCGGCAGCACGGGCGGCTCAGGTCCTGGCCTCTGAACAGTGGCACGCACAGGTACTGCATTCCTCAGTCCTGCTTCGAGAAGTCCTGGAACTCGCCCATGGTGACCAGCTCCGAGATCACATTCCTGACATTCGGGTTCCTGGTCGGCGCGCCGCTCTTCACCTCGGTCTTGGGCTTGCTGCCGATAGCGTTCATAACTTCGAGCTGAACTCCACGAAACTCTGGCACCACCATTATATGGATTCGCCAACGATCCTCCGTCCACTGACGCTGACGATGACACTTCTTCTGCATGCAAGTCAGGACCTGTCCGTTCACATTCTTCGTCGTCGCGTGGTACTGCTTCAGCAACGGCTTGGAGGCGTCGGGGATGCTGGCATCTTTGGCGATCTGGTCCACAAGACTCACCCAGGCTCTCTCGTGCGACGGCATCATCTTCTGCAAACCCTCGAAATCCTTGGCCTCCTTCAAGGCCTTCCTCTCCGTGTCGTAGTCCCTCCCCGTCTGCTGCATCCCGCCGAGATACGGGTGCTCCTCCGCAACCAAGGCCGCGGTCTCGAGCACTCCCTTCATCCGTCGAACTTCTCCGTCGATCCCCACGACAGTCTTTGCTGTGGCCACTGCAAGCTTGCGCAACTGAGCATCCGTCCCCGCCGATCCCACTGCTCGATGCCTCGAGGCCCTCTCCCCGTTCGCTCCGATCTGGGCCACCAGCCCCTCCATCAGTCTCTTGCGGCTGAAAGTGCTGGCGTATGTGCTGATGTGCTTCCGTCAGAGAGGAGAAGGTGCAATCTGCGCAGAATGGGCACGCTATCGGCGACGGAGTGGTTAGAGCCGAAAGAAGACCACCAGACGGACCACGTTTCGTAGGGCACGCACACGGAGCTCGCTTCCCTCGCGCCAAACAGTGTAGTTTCGCATTCGTAACTGTCGAAAAGATTCGATCTTGTTATAACGGCTTTCCGATGATCACAACACCTACCATGCGCGCGATATTCATGAACTCGAAGCTGCTTTATAGTAGGGTAAGAGTGCGTACATCTAACACTGTCGACCTCGAACTCACATGTAAACAAGTGCTGCGAGCTACGAGGTAGCGCAGGCAATGGATCAGGAGGAGGCGCCCCAAACGTCAGCAAACTCTCTTTGGGAGGAACGAACACATTCGGCGATTCGAAGAGCGCAAACCATCCCTTCTGCCGAAGAGCGTCATGAACCTGCGGATCGAGACGGCCTAGCTCATTCAAGTCCTGTCCCCACTGCTTCAGCCACGGGTTGCTCCTATGATGTGGCCGTCCTCTACCATTAAGCTGTGCCTGACCTTCTACTGGACCTGTAAGAACACCTAGCAATACTGCGTGATCTTCTGGATGTCTAGCGATATGATGTAGCCATCTAAGTCGTCGATATCGTAGTGCACTCTGCGTCGTCGGTATATTCAAGCGCCTCCGTACTTCATAGCTATTAAGAGTACGACAATATGTGAGCTTCCCCTCGCTATCATGATGCTTCGTGGCCCCCTCCCCCAGCAAGAGTACCCGGGCGTGCTGAGCGACAAAGCCATCAATGTGATCAGCAGCGTGATCTGAAAGCCTCCAAGCCCCCCCGCCCGAAAGATAGGTATTGACCACCATGCCGTTGAAGACAACTTTCTTAATCTTACGCGGGGCTTTACTGGACCAGAACTTCCCGAGAGCGTTCCAACCAAGGCGGGCAGCTTCCTGTCGCTTTCCCAGCTCCCAAGACTCCACGCCGTCAAAGTGATGCCACGCTCCTAGATGCCTCAGACAAAGTTTCGGGGCCCCCTCGAACGAGATGCCTTGCTTACGGTAGAAGTCTTGCATGTGATTGTGTGACCCCTTGCCGCAAGCGCGAAAGAGCACCTCCTTTTTTTCAGCATGTTGCCGCAAACCTGTGGGGGCGCTGACGTGTACATCAAGCTGTGTGTCCCACTCGCAAATCCGAGCGGCAGCCTCCTTCGCGTCCTCACACAAGCCCATGCGGAACATGTCGTCCGCATAGGAACCGTAACTGAACTCCACCCTCCTCTTCGTGACTGGCTCGATCACCTGGAAGAAGTCCCTGTCCTTCTCGCTCGAAGAACTGTGAACCCACTGATCCACGCACGGATCAAGTACATTGATGAACTTGTCTGGAGCAGCAACATCGCCTTGAAGGTCACCGCAGCCTAAGGACATCAGCGTCCAGTCACCGTCCTCCGCTCGAAGAAAGCAAAATGCCTTGGAGTGTCTCTGACGTAGTAGAGCTGCATCTCCCTGGGGTAAGGTCTGATCGATCACGTCGTCCAGTGTACGATGATGGACTGAGGCAAAGGCGTTGGCCTGATCATAAAATGGAGCCACCCAGTTCAGTCCATGCTTCTCCAAGTGCCATCGTGCCACCTTCACCTGTAAAATAGTCTGCTCACGTCGTCGTCTGGGCTTGAAACCGCTAGAGTTGTCAGATCCGTGCGCTACACGCTTCGCCCACAGTTGTCCAGCATGTGCCTTACCGATGGGGTCCAGCAAGTGCACGATCCTCTCGGCCTTGCACTTCTGCTTGTTGTTGCCTTTCTGCACCCGACATCCTGCGCTCACAGCCCAGATCTGAGGCAAACTTTGAGTGTACCTGACGGCGAACAGGAAGTGATCGAATCGACGTAGAAAGGCACCCGCACGTTCCTCCGCATGAGGTGGTTTCGCCAGCGCCATCAGCCAGCTCTCCCGCGGTGTAGACCACGGAGGTACTGCACGGCGAGCTTTCGAACGTTTCAGTCGGCGAAGCACTCCCTCAAGATCCTCGCGTGCTCGAGTGTGGGCCGGCTGTCCGTCGTCAGGTATGCGGTCCGAGATGGAGTCGTAGGTGACGATCGCCGTGGACTGCGGGGTATGCTCCACGTCCAACACTGGCCTACCCCCAGGAACATGAGATCCACCGACCCTCTTATCGGCGAGGGTCTGAGAGAGATTCCCACCATTCTCTGACGTATCTGCAGCATCGTCGCCTGGTGCTCGAATACGGCAACGTGCAGCAGCTTCGCGCAGGTGGTCGAGTCGTGCAGCTGGGTCTCGAGGCACCTGTAGTATACGTGCAGCAACGTCAGGAGTCGTACTGCAATCGCCAATCATGATAGGGGTAGCTTCCATGCCACCATCGGGTCCAGGCTGGCCCATATGTTGAATGCATTCCTGAATTGTCGGGGGATAAGTCGCTGTAAGTTGAAATCGCCGCTTCTTCGGTCCAAGCTTAGTTCCAGCAATCAGTCGAGATAAAATCCATACTTGATGCCAGTCGTGCCTGTTCTGAGCTTCTTCAAGTTCAACCGTCCATACATCTCGCATCCGTCGAAAATCTCGTCGTCGATATCCACGCGAGTATTTGCGATATAATGCCGCTTTCATTTTCAGCTCGTCATCAATCTGCTCAGCCACCTGAATCCTGGCTCGAATATCATTGTATTTCTGTCGCATCACCGTGGTCGACGTATCTTCCCCGCGTCGTGTAGCCTGACCTCGCCGTTCAAAATAAGTGTGAGCAGCCTCTGTCAAGCCCTGTTGGAGGAGGGCCCAGTAGGAGTCGATGTCTCCAGTCATCTGATGCCTGCGACAATCTGCAACAATATTGGGCTGATCCGCCCACGTGTCCAAAGCCATCACAAAATCGTCATAGTCGGGGCCGCCTTTGATCCATGCACGCATGAGTCGGTCCTGATCCCATCTGAAAGTATTCGTCGAAGGTTCGCTAGCATACCAAGATTGCGTCATAAACTCCATCACCAGAGGGGCGAAATCTGCATTACCTTTAGAATCAGAAAGTTGAAGATATCGTCCTGTGCGTCGCCATACACGAAGGGAGTGGATATGAGCCAACATGGTCTTCGGAATCGCTATGTAGTCTATGCGCGTCTGAGTGGAGCCTCGGAAGTAGGTCGGACCATGTCCCTCATGATAGTGTGTGTTAGCAAGTCCCATATGATGTGTATTGAGCATGAGCCTCCAAGCACTAATATGATGGTCCTCTCGCTCCGCACCCACGGGACCCACCGCATCCAGACGATTCGGATCGTGTACATATCCCCATTGTCCACCAAACTTCTGGAGTCCACAGTGGAAGTTCCCGTCCATAAACAGCACTGGCACACATCTAGCTGGAAGCTGTGAAATAACCTTACTGATCCAGTCGATCAAGCCCTGGCAGTGCTTCTTATCAGAATCCGTCTTCGGTAAGAGCAACCATATGCGATTATAAAGCAGAAATCATAGTGACCACTCCAGCGATATCTGACTGCACCCCCACGGCCCTGGAGAGACTCGGGAGGACACCATGCCTGAACGAAACGATGGCGCCTAAACATCTTAGATTTAACCGCCAACATACACCCCGTCGAAGAGTTGGTCCCTGAAGTCGAAGTCGATTGGGGGGCGTCCTTGATCTTCGGGCGATTTTTGGGAGTGGGCCACTGCCATACCGTATACTCACCAACTCTGGGGGATAGAATCTTCAAGCTTCCATCAAAAGAGGCGAACTTCATACTCTGACCCGTCCCAGTCAAACTGATCACGTGGCATGTCTCTAGGCCCTCTAGTATCTCCCTGATCCCCCGATGTACAGGAAGAGCTTGTGGGTTATACTGACAGAGTCGAAGCCGAAGTGCCTCGGGCGCGCGCGCGGGCACGCCCGTCGGGACCGAGGGCTGCACGTTCGTCGTCATCAGAGCCGACCGAAGGAGAGCGAGCTGAATAAGCAGGGCTCCCATCTTGGCTCTTACTCGCATGCCACGTCGGATGGTGTAGAGGGCAAGACGCCAAAAAGGAGGATCTTGTGCCAAAGGGGCGTCTAGGAGGAGGAGGAGGAGGAGGAGGAGGAAGGAGAGGAGGGGAGGAGGTGGGACAGAGTGATTAAACTCGGGATGCGTCAGCGATTGCACAAGGCGCCCTGCCCTTCACACGCGTCCACCATGTGACCCCCGCCAGCACAATTTTAACACCACGAGACCAGGCCCCGACCCGTCCAAGGCCCAACACGAAACAACACAACAAATTCACAAGAAACTCGAAATCCACCAACGCATCCACCACGCGATACCCACCAGCGTACGCATCAATATCATGAAACCAGACCCCCCCGTCCAAGCCCGAAAACACGAAACACCACACCAAATCCACGAGAAATTCGGAATCCACCAGCACGCGTCCACCACGTGATCCCCACCAGCATACGCATCAACACCACGAGACCAAGCCTGGACCCGCAAAAGCCCCATACCACAAAACACCACGTGGAATCCACGAGAAAGTCGAAATCCACCTGCACGCGTCCACCACGTGACGCCCACCAACACAAGCACCAACACCTCAAGAGACTAGACCCCCACCCGTCCAAGCCCCAAAGTACAACACACCACATCAAGTCCACGTGCAATTCGAAATCCGCCGCATGCGCCCACCATGTGATCCCAACCAGCATAAGCATCAACACCAAGAGACCAGACCCCCACCCGTCCAAACACGAAAACACTCAAACCCAACAAACAACATTGAAATCCATTCGCACGCGTCCGCGAAACGCGATCCCCACCAGAAGAAGAGTCAACACCACGAGACCAGATCCCCATCCGTCCAAGCCGCAAACTACGACGCACCACATGGAATCCACGAGAAAGCCGAAATGCACCCGCACGCGCCCACCACGGGATCCCCACGAGCACACACGCACCAGCACCACGAGACCAGACCCCCGACCCGCCCAAGACCCGAACCACGAAACGCCAAGTGGAGTGCACGAGACAATCGGAATCCACCCGCACGCGTCCGGCCACTCACACGAGAATCGACACCACGAGCTCAGAAGCCCACCTGGCCATGTCCCGAAGCGCCGGAGATGGCGGGCGCCCAGGTGGGCCCGGCATGCGGGCGGGGCGGCCATACGTGTTTGAAGGAGCCCAGGGACACACAAATACATACACACAAATGACAGGATTCACCATGCTATCCCATATTTTCTGAGTTTTTGTGTCTTCCCTCCCCCCCCCTTCCCACATTTTCCCATCTGTTCCTGGAAGTCGACGATTCATTGTGCCTCTGTGTGTCTTTCCCTCCTGAGTGCTACAGGAAGGGCCGGCCTCCAAGGGTAATTAGGGGAACAACAAAAAGACACAAACATAACAACTCGGAGGTCCGCGCGGATCTCCCGGATCGGCGCTGGACCCCCCTCCCTGGCGCGCGGAGCGCGCCAGGGGCGGCGCCGGAAGCGCCGCCGGGGGGCCCCAGCGCCGATCCGAGAAATCCGCGCGGACCTCCGAGTTTTTACATTGATGCCACTTTTTCTTCCCCTCAAGTTTGGACACCCGAAATGGGTACCGAAAGAATGGGCAACATGCCCAACAACAAATGTTGTCCCGAACCAACAGCGGCCGCTGTTGGGCAGGCGGCCTTCTGTCTCGAATGGACACAGGCCGCGGCGGCGTGGACAGCGAATCCTGTTCAGAATGAACAAGATCCGCTGTTGGGCATAGTACCCATCCTTTCAGTACCCATTTCGGGCATGCAGATCAAGAGGGGCCGCCCTCCAGGCTTGTCGCGGAACCAGGGGGTCCTGGCGCAGCGTCGGAGCATGGCCGCAGGAGCGCGGGTCGGGAGCAGGGGGCCCCTTCGCCGCAGGCTCCCCCGAGGCCCCTCACGAGGACAGCCCGAAGGAAACCTCCTCCTCCTCTGACTACCTACCAGACCACCCCAACCCAACCCGAAGACCCGAATTTCGGGTTGGGGGGGGGATACGGGCTTCATGTGTGTTTTTTCAATGTTCCCCGACCCCCCCCCAACTGGAAATGGAGGGCAAATTGAGGCCTTCGGGTTGGGTTGGGGTGGTTTGGTGGGTGGTGATCCTCCTCCTCCTCCTGCTCCTCCTCCTGCTCCTCCTCCTCCTCCTCCTCCTCCTCCTCAAGGATGCTCCGTCCAAAGCTGGGTGTTTGTCGTAGTCGTCGTGCCAACTGAATGGTCAAGGCAAGGTCAGTTCAAATGAGAAGCAGAACGAGACGGTGTGGTAGCGTGGCCATGTGAAGAGTTGGACCGCAAGGAAACGCTGGCAAACCTAATTCGGGAGCCCCATGTTGGGAGGAACCAACCGCCGTGCATCCGCGAAAAGTCGGACGTTTCCGAGTGGCGGAACATAACGTCTCAGATGGCCTAAATCAAGAATCTGTTTTCGAAAAGAAGCCACCCTCCATCTGTGTAGCTTCTTGGATCTCTTCTGGCGACTCTGCGCAGCGCAGAAGCAACAATGCAATTGCGGCACACCTTTGCTGACAAAATGAGCGGCACTACGGCGAGAGACGCACGTTGCAAACCATCCGCCCACTATCCGTGTAACTGTGGGACTCTCAAACATCAGGATCAGAAGTCGTCAAGAAAGCTCAAGTGAGACGCCCAACGTGCCCTAGTTTTAAGTCGGGCCTGTCCCCATATGGGGATTTTCGACGATAAATAAAAATAGCCCAAAAATAATCCAACAATAGTCCGGGGACTATTTTTTGAGCATTGTTTGACCGTTTTGGACTATCTTTGGGGTACTTTTTATTTTTCGTCGAAA